GTATATGATTAACAAGATAATACCTTATTCATTCAGCAAATATATCTTGATTATCTGGTCTTTGCAGATATACTGTGAGGAATAAAACATGTTTTTTTCCCTCTATTGCTTCTTGCCCAGGGTGTCTCAGGCTCAATACTGTTGACATTTTGGGCTGGATAAGTCTTATCATCCAGCGCTCTGCATGAGGTTTAGCAGCCTACAATCAGTGGCCTCTGCCCACTGGATTCCAGTAGCACCGCCCCTCCCCCCTCCCTAGTCTTGACAATCAAAAATGTCTCCAGACATTGCCAAATGTCCCTGGGAGGCAAAATCACACAAATAAGCACAAATACAAATTTGATGGGGCTATTAAGGGAAACGGTGTGGTACTATGAGAGATAGCAACAGACAAATCCTGGTGTCTTTGTCCATTTGGGCTGCTATAATAAAGTACCATAGACTGGGTAGCTTATAAACAATCTGACACATGTCCCTCACAGTTCTGGAGGCTGGAAGTCTGAGACCAGGGTGACAGCATGGTTGGGTTCTGGTGAGGGCCCTCTTCTGGGTTACAGACTGCCAACTTCCTGCTGTATCCTCACATGGTAGAAAAAGAGCAAGCTAGCTCTCTGGCTCCTTCTTATATGAGCACTAATTCCATTCATAAGGGCTCTACCCTCCTGACCTAATTACCCCCAAAGACCTTACCTACTAATAACACCACATTGAGGGACAGGATGTAAATATGTGGATGAATTTTGGAGTGACACAAACATTCAGTCGGTAAACACCTGGTGAGGAAAAGCGTCTCTGAGAAAGTGGTTTTCAAGTTCTGATCCAGCCCAGGAGTCACCAAATGTTTTCTGCAAAGGGTCAGATAGTAAATGTTGTCAGCTTTGGGGACCGTGAGGACCACTGTTATCTGTATTTCCTGGAAGCTGGTAATCAGATTCACAGGCTTTGATCCCATTCAGGTTGGATGTTGTTGCAAGACTGCATCACAAGTGGTGTGTGTGGCCATGGAACCACATCAGGTCTGGCCATCCCTCTTTTGTGATGTTGGCAGACACTGATGCTCAAAGCTGAAATCCAGTCAATCCTTGGAAGTTCTATTCCTTTATTTTAATCCTTATCCCATCACTCCTTTAAAATATCTAGACTTGATTATTCAAATGTGAGCAAATACTGCAAAAAAAAAAAAAGAAATTAAAACAAAGAAATTTAAGTTTTCTAGTATTGGAATAATAAAGAAAGAAAGAAAATAAAATGATCTGGAATGCTTCTATAAAGAGATACTTCCCTCATCTACATACGGACTGGGTAGTCAGGAGTCCAAGGCAAATCAGCACATGGCAAATATGAACATTGCTGGTTGGTCTGGTCTATACTGCTTGTTGGCTGTTACACTTTATGTAACACACTCATGGAGTGAAGCGTGCCATACATGGGGCCTATAGGTTTGGTGAGATTTCTGGGGGCTGCCATGGTGGGCATCTGCTTTGTGGGATTTCCTGGCACTGACTGGGCCTCTGTGAACAGAGTGCTGTAGACTCTAGCCCCCAGTGAAGCAGCGGCAGGAACCTGGGAGCAAGTTGCCAGGTGTCCGAGTTTCCCAGGGCCACCGTAACAAAGTACCACAAACT